CCCAGACTTTCCCAGCATGCTTTAAGATGGGTGGACCTCAACTCCCACAATTCCCCAGCCAATATTCTTTAAGATGGGTGGACCTCAACTCCCACAATTCTGGGACAATTCTGGAGAATTCTGAGAGTTGAAGTCCACCCATCTTAAAGTTGTCAAGGTTGAGAAACCCTGAGCTAGAAGCCTTCTCCCACAAACCAGAAGAAAGTTTGTAAAGTGGTTCCAGCCGAGTTTGCAGAGCGTGTGCGTAGCCTCCAGGGTGGGCCCGGGGAAGGGGAGGTTAGCCTCATAAAGGGAGAGTTGGCCTCCCCAGTCCGCCTGCATCGCTCAGGGTAGCCCATTCAGGATAAACAAAGAAGAACTTTAATTGACTAATGAGCTCTTAACGAAGAGCAGCTTGGCTGTGGAAGTGTGAATGGTCCCTCCTCCCCTTCAGACACCATGGAGCGTGGACAGCTCCCCGGTGCGTGCCGAGCCTACTGTGACAAAAGGGCAGGAAAAGAACACCACTGGGGTGTGTGTGTGTGTGTGTGTGCGGGTCCGTGCAGCTTCTCATGAATCCTGAACTTAAGGATTAAAGCTACCCAACGTGCACACCCTTGCACGTCTACCTCTGCTCTCAGAAGTTCTCCGGCCTTTGAGTGTCAGCAAATGGGGAGTGTCAGGGCTCCGTTACCCCAGATGTTCATGGATTTAATCCATTTATTTCGCTGCCCATCTCGACAACAACACTGGCCGTTTTGCACAGATTTGAAAGGTCAATTGCTATCTGGTCCTGGGTGGAATATTTGTCTGGGGGACAAAGTCTTCTTCTATCAGTGAGGCCAGCTCCCATTAGCTGGAATAGCATAAGGAAATCCTCAAGGTGCTTCCCAGTCTCTCGTGGGTTTGCCGAAGGGATCCTGACCATCAGGGTGGATTGGAAGGATCAACTGCAATTTACTGATGCTATCATCTTAACTGGGGCTTTACACAGCGTGATGTGATAGTTTTGCTAGCCGTAGCTGTTAAGGGCTAGGTTCAGACAACTCCCAAAGCTTCTTGGTTGTATTAGTGATTTGGGCTTGATGTTTCTCAGTACTTTGTGTTTTAACTTTTGCAAAGTTTGTAATTGTTTTTATTTTATTTTAATTGTGCTCGCCGCCCATTTATTTATCCCATATAAATATATACATGGGATAAATAAATATATAAGCTGTGGTTTATACACTGCAGGAGCTGAGTGCCCACGCAGCACGCTTAACCAAAATGAAATCAACGTTTGGCTTAGCTAACTAACTTAGTTTCTCTCTCTGTCTTTGAAGAGATTGCTAATTTGATCTCTATAACAGCCCTGCCAGTTGATCGAACCAGCAAAGCCGTATTATGTCTGAAAGATAATACGTTCCAAGTTGTCTGAACTGAAGCGATTCAAGCGGCTTCTGGAAACATCTAGAAATAGACCCTGTTGCATTATTACATATTCTTTCTCATTCTGATCATGTCAAGAACCATCTGGAGCATACTTTGAAAACCCATAACAGTGGCTTCAGGAATAAGATTTTCCAAGCGGGTATCCTTGTGAAATTTTGGAGCCAGCGCTATACCCAATTTTGCAAATCTGCGCAAAATGACCGGCGTTGTTGTCGAGACGGGCAGCTGAATAAATGGATTAAATCCATCAATATCTGGGGTAACAGAGACCTGACACTCCCCATTTGCTGACACTCAAAGGCAGGAGAACTTTTGAGAGCAGAGGTAGACGTGCAAGGGTGTGCACGTTGGATAGCTTTTATCTATACCCCATTAACAGTTTGAACGGGGTAAACCGAAACAAAATCTAGAGGAAAGCTGAAAATGCTGGGTTTCCTTCAGCAGCACTGAGCATCTCTCAGAGAACATCCTGCTGTTTTCCTTGTTTGACGAGATTAGCATCACGATATTGCTACGTCTCCTGCTAATTCTGTGCCTGGTGTTTAGTTGCCCGGTTTTCACAGATCATTTCACTTGGAGAAATGTCTCCGACTAATTGAGTGAGAACGATGACCCTGTAAGAGATCTTGGGTTTATGACTGTCTCTGTGTGGGGAGAGGAGGGGGAAGGTAGGACAGGACAGGGGTGTGGAAAGTAAAGGATCTCCAATGCATGGACTTGAAAGAAGCAGACAGAGATGGAATCAGAAATACAGGTAGATCTTGATTAGTGTAATGGTCTATGGGAATGGGAGGAAGAGCCACAGACCGGACAACAGGCGTGGAAAAGGCGTCTCAGCCCACAGAAGGAAAAGGGGCGTGGGAAGCGTCTCAGAAGGGACCCTCCCTAGTTTTCCAGAGAGAAAAAGGAGAGGGAAGGAAAAGGGCTCTGTAATGGTCTGTGGGAATGACCTTGAGAGACAGGAGGAAGAGCCGGCCGACCGGACAACAGGCGTGGAAAAGGCGTCTCAGCCCACAGAAGGAAAAGGGGCATGGGAAGCGTCTCAGAAGGGACCCTCCCTAGTTTTCCAGACAGTAAAAGAAAAGAAGGGGAGAAATGCTTTCAGACTTGCAAGATTCTGTTATTGTAACCTCACAATAAAGGTAATCATGGTTGGTGTTCCTCATCGCTCGAAGGGCCAACAATTAGTGTGGTTAATGAATCCCACAAAATGGACCCCTGATTTGCATTTGCACTCTTCGAAGTGAAATAAAATAGGGCAATTGGTTCCAGCCCAATGGAAATAGGCAAGGAAAAATGTTAAACATAAATGTTTATATGGACCTTAATGAAATATTACAAGTAAAGGATCAGAGGAATATACATATTGTTTAAATTTATGGTTCACAAAGTCACAGAGTAGTAAAATGTGCTTTACTCATAAGCTGCCTAGAGTCATTTATAAGGTGAGTTGCACGGTGTACAAATTTGATCAATCAATCAATCAATCAATCAATCAATCAATCAATCAGTAAAATAAAATCCCCACACTTCCAAATATCATTCCGCAAGATAAGCTCACCCTGACGCAAACATCTTTTTTTTAAACTTGTAGTTTTCTTCTGACGAAATCTTCCTTTTTTCCATTTTGTACCCACGAAGTTGAGCAGTGTCTAAAACCCCACCACAACTGCGTATGTGCTACCCTCGCATTTCTGAATTTTGGGTTGCGTTAAACACAACCCGGTATCAGCTTACGATTGGCACTAAACTGAATATTGATTGATTGATTTTTATTTATTTATATTTCAAATTTGTCACCTCTCATCTCACGACAGAGTGACTCTGGGCGGTTTACAGTCAAAACAGAATAACATTAATTAAAATAGATAAATATTAATTAATTAATGGAAATATGCTTAAAAAAGTCCTATATGATGCTTCCAAGAGTTGCGGTTAATTAGGTGTTCAGTATTGCATTATTTGAAGATGCACTCGCCTACCTTTTTATTGAATTGAAGCAGAAGAAGATATTAGATTCGGATCCTAACCCAGATTTATTGGTGGCTTCCTTCTGAAAGCACCCAAAATATCTTTCTGATAATGTCTGTTTCTAAAATATCTTTCTGATAATGTCTGTTTCTGTTCCCCGAAGACAGAAATGCATTGCAGGGTCTTTAACTGTGGATATATCGTAATGAAACCATGGATGAAACTGACCCACTTTATTTCTTCAAATCTTTTCCCTGAACTGGGAAATAAAGGGAATTTTTTCCAATGTTCATTCTTCAGCTCTTCTCATCCCCAAAACGCCAGGGTTGAAGTTTAAAACTTTAGGTCTGCTTTTGAATAAGGCACCTTGGGCAATGTCTTGTCTTTCCTTCAAGAGCTCAAGGTGGCCTCTTCTTCCTCCCATTTTCCTCCCTACAACAACCTTGCGAGGTAGGTGAGGCTGAGGGAGGGTAACTGGCCCCCAGCCCCCCAGGGAGCTTCTGTGATAGAAGGGGATTTGAACCCAGGTCTCCCAGCCCCACCCAGCACCTTTGCTGCAATGCCACGTAGGCTCTCTTTAGAAGAAAAAACTGTTCAAACGTGGCCCGTGCTTGTTTGTTTCCTTGCCCATCATAGTTCAAAAAAGCAGGAAAATTAAGCCCCTTAATTCTCCAGTGGGCCTGCCTGAAACTTTTTTTATCTATCCATTTTTATTAAACCAATGTTTAACGAGACAAAAACTGCACGCGCTTTGAAAAGAAAGTGAAAAGCAAAAAGAAAAAAAGAGAAAGTGAAAAAGTGAAAAAGACATCAAAAGAAAGAAATAGAAAAGAAAGAAAGAAGGAAAGAAGAGGAGAAAGAAAAAGTAAAGAAAAAGTTATAAAGGAGCAGCTTCTGATCTTCTTATCCACAGTTATAAATGCATTTAGATTTAATAACTCTCTCTCTACTTCCGATACCCCGACCGTGTCCACATTCCCCTCCCCAGAGAATCCGTCTTCAACGGAAGTTGCTTCCAAAGAAACTGAGAAAATGTGAATTTGGCCACGCCAGTTAGTCCACCCGTGATCTTGGCGAGCAAAGAAGTCAATGTCGGAACAAAACCGCCTTGTGCATGTGTGGTCAAAAAGATACGTGTTGCTGTTTTCACACAACAGGATTCAGCCGGCCAGCAAAAGACTTCGTGGCTGCCTTTAGACCACAGGCTGAACTGGGTTTGCTTCTAACGACGTAACATCATGTGCGAAGTCAGTTTTCACGACCCTGTTGATAGCCCAAAGGATCCAGATGGAGCTTTTCTTTGCAAATTTGCAAGAAGGAGAAACCCATGGGAAAAAAGGGGGGGATGCTCTGGGGACATTGGAGATAAATCTATGAGCTTCGTCCCCCCCCCACTTGTTTTGGGGACCTAAACTTTACAAAAGTGGGGGCTAAATTATTTGAGGTCAAGCAGGAATGATTTTCTCTGCAAATTAAATGGGGGGAATTGCAGTTGGGCACTGAACCACGAACATCGTCTTCTTGTGCTCCTAATCTCTCTTCTTTTTCTTCTTCTTTTTCTTTTATTTTTTTTTATTCTCTTATTTTTATTCTTTTTTATTCTTTTCATGTTGCTACAGGACCACGGTATTCCTGTCCCCGTCACCCCCTCTCATCCCTGGAGCATGGATGAAAATCTTATGCACATCAGGTGAGGACCAGATCGATCTCTCGCTGGATTGAGAGTCCATATTTCTCTTCTGTTTCCAGCAAGGGACAGGCTTCACCAGCTGACGTTGGCACCCCCCCCGCCATGTTGCTTGTGTTCTCTCTCTGATGTTCAAAGATAGAGTGCCTCTGCACTTGGATGCTCTACTGGGTCAACTAAAGAGCATTTGCATTTAACGGATCCATCCATTGGTGATAACTGCCGCTTTTTCAGCTGGTAAATTCCATCAAGTTAGAAAAATCCACATTTTTCTCAGTTTCTTTGGAAGCAGTTTCCGTTGAAGACGGATTCTTTGGGGACGGGAATGTGGACACGGTCGAGGTATTGGAAGTAGAGAGAGAGTTATTAAATCTAAATGCATTTATAACTGTGGATAAGAAGATCAGAAGCTGCTCCTTTACAACTTTTTCTTTACTTTTTCTTTTCTATTTTTTTCTTTCGGAGTCTCTTTCACTTTCTCCTTGCTTTTCTTTTTGCTTTTTACTTTCTTTTCAAAGTAAAAACAGCGTGCTGTTTTGGTCTTGTTAAAAATTTGTTTAATAAAAATGATCGGTAGATAAAAAACGGTTTAGGCAGGCCCACGGGAGAATTACGTGGCTTAATTTTCCAACATATTGCTTGCTTTTTTCGTCTGAGCTGGGTTTGAGGTCAGAAGAAGACATCTGCCATCTTGAATCTTGCGAGGTGTCCTGGGCGAGGGGACAAATTTTGTTGCCTTCTGGATTATTCCAAAATTTGTCGCCCCCCGCCCCCAGCAACACTTTGGATCCATTCTCAAAATGGTTGATGGAAAGATTCAAAGTGGCTAGTTGGGAGATGTGGCTAGTCCCCAACTCTGGTTCACCAGAAAGCAGCTTAGATCATTGGCCCCCCGTCCCATCCCAAGGAATACATGGAATTGTGGGAAACCAGGTGAGAGGAGCGTGTAAGAACAGGTAGACATTTGCACACTCGCCTTGGCTGCCTCGTCAATCAGTCGACGCCGGTGACGAGGCCCCCTGCAAAAATGCCACCAAAGTCTCTCCTTTGCACGAAATTTTGGGAGCAAGTTCTTCATCGTCAAGTCCATTAATGGAGAAACAAGAGGCGTTGCGGGGGAGGAAGATGGGAGGATTTATTTATTTATTTATTTATTTATTTATTTATTTATGGGCAAGGAGTGCCTATAGGAGGTGTGAGGCCAGCTTGGGGGAGAATAGAAAAAGAGGGTTATGGTTTCTGCCCATTTCTCGCATCGTTTTTCTGTATATATTGATGGTTCACTGATACGTTGGTCTTCCTTTTTTGTATTTTCGGCCTTCCTTCTGCTTGGATCTTCATCCTCCAAAGCTATGAAGCCGGTATCTTGGAGAACCCGAAGGTAAGAGGGCCATAAATGGCTTGGAGAAACATCTGAGGATCTTCTCCAGTCCCATGACCTCCCCCTCCCAGGTTGGCTTAACCATGGTTTAATGACCCAGTGGGTCAGCTTCACATAATGCAAGATGGCAAACTGATGTTGGCTTCTATGTGAGCCCAACATAACTCAACAATATTGGTGAAGATAACTCCACAATTTAACTTGGGATAAGGAAGCATAATTTTGCTGTTCTGAACAAGTTATCTTATGGTGGGTTCATTCTGTTATGAAAACATGGGGACAGAACTCCATGGGATCGAGAAATGAAGACTTGTAGATTCATAGGGACACCCCCACCCCCTGTTCCTCTCTTCTTGGACTCTTCTAGACATCCCTCACCCCATTTTACGAGGGCAGGAAAATGCCTTTAGACAAACATTAGATTACTGTGGCTTCCACCCCCAACCTGTTTTGAGCTTGGCTCACAACGTTTCGAAGAAATCGGCAGGCCAATTTTGCATTTAAAAAAAGGCTGTGAACTGGATGTTCATCTCAACGTGTGATATTCTGGACCCATGGTTATTTGAGATTCTTTTTGAGCTCCTAACTACATTGGGGTATTTCAGAAGTGCAAAGGCCCATAAGTATTTGAGTTGCAAGCCTTCTAAGTTGGGGGAATATGGATTAGGCAGGCTCGTATCTCCAATTGTCTCAAGGTACAGCCCCTGAGAAAGACTCCACTTCTTAATTCACATGAACTTGCTTGCTAATTCAGTGCCACTTCACATATGCTTATATATTCTTTGATTCCTCCATCTCAGTGATGGAGAATCAAATGGTGACCAAGTTCTGCTGTCTTTGGAGGGTTCTGGAAACGCTCTAGTGTTTGCTCCGGGGACATCCTGGGTTACCATCGCTCAAGGCCATTGACATTATGACATTGTCGAACCGTTTGGTTGCATTTTGTCGGGAGAGGCTGTTTGGAAGTGGCTAGTGTGGGTCGAAACCAGATGCCCCATTCGCAAACCCCACAAAATCTTGCAGGCCCTTGCCGGAAACCTCCAAATAGAAGCTTTTCATTGCGCTACGCTACGTGAGAAATTGGGTGAGTTTTTCTTCATTGGCTTTATTTAAACAGAAGAAGAGAGCCAGTGTGGTGTAGTGGTTAAAGGCGCTGGGTTAGAAGCCAGGAGACTGCTGAGAGATTTTGGGTTGGTCAGCCACACTCAGCCATAGATAAAGGTCCTGACAGCCCACTTCCAAAAACGTTGCCAAGAAAAATGTTCCTATGGGCCACCAGGAGTCAAGGTTGACTTGATGGACCGTCACAACAACGAACAGAAGAAAAGGAGACCCTCCCTCAAATTGTAAACAGAAGGGCACCTCATATATGTATATAATTTCTTTACAGAATCCCTAAAGGATGGCATAGTTCATGATAACTGTCCATAAGCAATCTAGGTCTGTAAGCAACGTTTTCAGAGGTTGCAAGTCACACCTGGTCTTTAGATCATTGAGGAGTTTGGGGCAAAAGGAGATTTTTCCTAGGTTGAGGACAAGGGTGCAGAGAATCCATTCTGGTGGTCAACCGGGGTTGTCCTCGTAAGTTTTTATATTTTTGGAGGGCTACATAGCTATGAAAACCCCTTTCAAAGTCAGATTAGTCGACGCGAGAACTTCTGTCGAGAATTCAACCCTTGGCGAGCTTTTTCTGCGGCTGTGAACCCTTCGGGGAGTGTATAGTTGCCTTGTGCCAAGCAGAACATGGGCTAATTTGGTCCCCTGGGGGCTGTGGGTTGTGCGAATGCAGCCAGGTTTTCTTGGGCAGAACTGAAGGGGGTGCCCCACCGGTCCCTCATTGTCCCGTTGCGTGCCCACTGGGGAAACAAGGGTGCTGCTTTTGCGACGTCTTAATGGGAAGAATGGTTTCGTTGCCTGCTGGCTCTGTCTATTTCCACTTCATGCTCTGATGGATTCACTATGCTAGGAGACCTACTTAAACTATCCATCAGCACTAATTAGACAATCAGTCATTGAGGCTGGGGGTAGGCAGAGTGGCAAGAAGAGAATCAGAGAAAACTCCCTTCCACGTAGCTCCAGATCTTCCTAGGCTACTAAGGATGACGCCTTCTGTAAGTGCTTTACCCCAAAATGAGGCTGACTGTTGCATCTCTGCATGATCCTTAGCCATGCTGCCTTCCAATCAACCTTAGCTTCCTTCTCTGTATCCCTGGGACGTTTGTCCCCTGCCATTGTAGAGGGTGGCTGTTGTGTGTGTGATGGCCATCTTGGTTGCTGTTCCCATCACACGTGGAGATGGACATTTCTCCTGAGGAAGGAGGAGATGGACATCTCTCCTCCTTCCTTCCTCTCCCTTCTCTCCTCCCTCCCTCCCTCCCTCCCTCCCCCTCTCCTTCCTTCCTTCCTTCCTTCCTTCCTTCCTTCCTTCCTTCCTTCCTTCCCCACAAGGGCTGATTACATCAAGGCCAGTGAAGAGGCACAGAAGAAGTACCCATCTTCAGAAGAAGTTCCTGTTGCAACTCTGTGTGATTTATTCTTTCGTATCTGCTTCCTTCTGATTGCTTGATTTGGAGGGGAAGCGTAAATGAGATGGGCACATAATACTTCTTCTAATGTCACTTCTGTCCCATTCTGATATCTTTTTAGAGAAGGTCAGGTTCAAATATTGACATATATCTATTTCTTAATGTATTTTCTTACAAAGTAGGCATTTGGAATTGTGTCTCATCCGCCTGTTGCACGTTTTGAAACCTATTTTACCCTGAAAGGTGAATGTTTAAGTTCATCTTATCAATTTTCATTCTTTCATTTGTCTAATTTTTAGTCTATTTCGTGCTGTTTCCACAGCCATCTAATTTTTTTTTAAAAAAAGAAAGAGTGTAATTACTGTACGTGGATAATTTTTTTTCTGTGCCTTTCTGCTTAATCTACTAGATTAGATTAAGAGATAATGTCCGTTTGAATTAAAACACTTTCTTTGTATCAAGCTGATTCACAAAATCTGAGCCTTGCCGGTGATGGTTTAGATTTTACTTGATTCTCTTAACCAACCCTAACATTTGCATGTTCCTGCATTTTTAATCCTTTTTAGGTTTTTTTTTTTCTGTTTTTCATTGGAGAGCTGCATACCAAATTTGAGAAACTGCAGTTTTAACGGTAACTCTCCAAAAGTGTGGAATTAGTTATTTCATGAAGATGCAGACTCAGATGATTCTTTTCCCCATCCCTTCCCTTCTCCTTTCTCTCATCTTTCAGTTTCCTATTCCTTCCTTCCTTCCTTCCTTCCTTCCTTCCTTCCTTCCTTCCTTCCTTCCTTCCTATCAAAACATGTTCGAAAAGGCCAATTTTTCTGGTGTTTGTCTCTTTGGGATGGGTGCCCTGGGAGTCTGATTGCTACTGAGGTGGGAAGAGCGGTCCCCATCTGCCCTAAGTTGGCCCCAAAATCTTTCCTCCCTCCCTCCTTCCCTCGGAGAGCCCCCCCCACGAGAGTCCTGCCAGTCGAGGGATTTGAAAACAGATGGTTGAGCTATTTTCTGCCTCTGTGAGGCCTGATTGAGGAGCAATGAGGCAGCTAATGCTGAGAAAGATAGAAATTTACTTGCTTTAACTTCATATGGGCTTCTTGAAAAGACTTCATTCAGTTCCAGCCACAACAATATCAACTTGGATGAATAAACCATTTGCGGCATTGATAGCTGTGCATCATAGTTTAATTCATGGACCATTTACTTCCAATTTTTTCCCCCTCTCCTCTCCGGCCCTATTCTTTCGGCTTCCCTCCAGCCCCCCAGCCCCCTCCCCTCCTTGCATCGCCCCTTTAAAGATGGCATTGCAATCCCGTTCGCCTGTCGTGGGGGATAAAGGGGAGGCATTGATACCCCATCGGAAACCTGGCCCACAACTTGGACTGACCTTTCCAGGGGAAGGAGAAGAACCACCCAAGTCAGCAACCCAGGGATTATTTTTATTTTCATTTCTTAAAGTGACTTCAGTTTGCTGTTGGTTGCTCAACCTGCAGACCCGCCCTGGTTGGGACTTTAGATATTCCCGAACTTCCTGCTCGCCTTCCCTTCTTTCTCTGCTCCGTTCTGGTCCTCCGGATGGAGGATCTGGGCGATTCCGAAACGCAAAACAGGTTGTTCCCTGTTCTTCCCAACCAGCAGGATCACAGCCAGAAACAGGAGATGTAAAATTGAAATCCCTGGTCCGTGTAATTGGACCCCCCCCTCCGTTTGTGGGTTTTGAGGGTACCTGCGTTTGTGTTGTTAAGCAAGCAATACAAAGGGGGGCTGCTTTTTTTTACATTAAAGATATAGTTAAGGAGGAAGGAAAATGAAATGAGAAAAAAAAATCTAATCTCTTCTACTTTATACGAGGTCACGCAACCTTCCACCTTTAATTTTCTGTATGGGTGCATCTTTACGTCGTATTTGTACATTCAGGTTTTGTACAGATTTGCTCGGCGGCGTTGCTGATGCATTAGATGTGTCATTCACTCACCTGCACGTTTAGCCACAGGCCGAATTCATAGGCTGGACCAAGCCCTGGTTTGTTTTGCCCACCGTGTATTGAATAAACCGCCACAAACTGGGTTTACTTGTATTAAGCCACCAATCGTGGTTTACAAACCACGGCAGCTGATTCATCCCGCTGCATCAGGGCTTTGGGGGCCCTGTTGATGGAGCTGTAGTCCAGCTGGAAGAGTTGTCGTTTGTATTTCACAAATGCGTGTTGCGATTGGATGAAAAGAGCAGGAGGACCGCTGTTTGTGGTGATCTGAAATCTACCACAATACGTAACTCCAATGTTCTAGTTCAACAGTAGCTGGTTTGCTTTCCATACAGGAGCAAATGAATACCATTAGAATTCCAAAGTTTGATGAGCTGGGACAGGGCTCACTTTGGATGTTGAAAGCCTCTTTGGGGCACTCTCACAAGATGGGCGAGTGGAGTCCCTTGGAAACAGTCTGCGTTGGGCCAACACACTCAAAGAGAAGGGAA